AGACAGTTTAAAATACGTCTACAGTGACAAGGAACCTAACATCCGGGATAAAGCCTTAGAACTGAAAAACAAATTTCTATCTCTTGGCTCCACTGGTTCATAGAGTAAATTTCCATCTCTGTTGGTGACACTTGAACACGGTTGGATACGTGTGAGAGGGGAAACATGGTCTGCTTTCTAGCGGTCATAGTACGGAGTGAAGACGAAAATGGTGTGCGATCTAACATGGACCAGCTTTGGAATGTACTACAGCGACTTGCACCTTCGCTTGGGCAGTACAGGGTGTGTATTCAGCGCTAGATCAATATAGCTGGATACAGAAAGGTGGATACGCGCTACGTTTTACTCGCGTGCGTGCCTCGCAGCCTCTTGATCAGCGAAATAATTCGCTAAGGAACTCCTCGGCTTGCGATGCTCTCAGCTCTCATATTCACGTGCTATCATATTCACGTCGTTTCGCGTTCAGGTGATTCTCGCGGTCACGCAATGAAACTGTGGCTTTTTTTCGATGGTAACACTCCCTTATGATAAGTCTTCCTCTGCTTGCACCTCACTTCTTTGTTGAGCATTGAAATCAGGTTAATGTGTCTAGTCCTTCATAAAGAGCGATAAATCCGATTGAATTTATCACCGCTGTTTGTCCTTTGGGAAGGCTGTATGATAAGGAATCGAGAACTGTGTAAAACAAGAAAATCACTTTCGGAAAAAAATACTTCAGTCTTCATGTAAAAAAGAAATGTTACTATTTCCTTGTTTATCAGATCAGACATGCGGTCTGCAAAGCACTGAAATGGCCTGATAGATAATAAAATTATCTTGATTAGTGAGCTCAAAGTCTTTTTATGGTGATATTACCACACTGAAACATTTAATTATCCGGTGATGCCATTTCAATGAGCTAATTTACGAGTAATTCTTGGCTTTCTAACGATTAAGTTAAAGCCTTTTGAATGCCGAAATAGATGGTGTGTAGGGGAGAGAGCACACAACACTCGCAATGACATCTGAAGGGTAAAACCGGCCAATAAAATGAAAGGAAAAGCTAAAGGGGAAAAGGATTACTTATTGGAGGCGGTATTTTTTCAGTGCAGCTGAAAAAACTAACGCACAGCTGCACTGTTTACATAACGTCTCACTCTGCCGATTTTTTAAACAATCCACCATAACATCTTCGACCCCCTTTAGCCTTTCTTTTTAATATAGTTAAGAAGCAGCGGAGCGAAACTACTTCACCTCGGCTCAATACGATAAATGATAATTTTAACGCAGCGGACGAAACAGCAAAGAAAACTGTTGAAGTAAGAAGTCCCAAGTTAAGTAATTTGAACGCGGAAATAGATTTAAAAAAATAAATAAATAAGTAAAGATGTAGGAAAGCCAAAGGGGTCAAGGATGATTATTCACTGGAGGCGGGATTATTTTACTGCACCTGTAGCACCGATTGTGAACGAACGTCATAATATCTCGCTTTACCAATTTTTTTATACAATCCAACATAACATCTCTCGTTTAATTTTGACGTTGCGGAAGGAATACATAACATTGAAGTAAGACGCGTCAAATGAAAGTAATTTGAATGCCGAAATCGATCGAATTCAGTTTCAGTATGGCGTATGATTGTATTTCTGCTTGATTTAAACTTCATTTGTTTGAAAATGGTGAAAGAGCAACGGGGCTGCTGTCGGTACACACTAAGAATCTGGAAACTTGCGAAATAAAAAATTGAAAATAGTCAACAAATGAACAGATAAATAAAACGATTAAAAAGAAAACTGGATAAGGAAATAATTGATAAATAAGTAAATAAATACTTGAACGAATAAATAAAACGCAACATAGTTTTAAAGCTTCATTTTAAGGCCTAGCATCACAGACTTTGACGAAAGAAAGCGTCTTGTAGCTCCAGGTTGTTAGAAACAAGTGGCAAAAAGACAAAAAAAGCCTTATACTCTCCTTTTCCTTCATTCCACTCACGTTGTGTTCTTGTTCCCCAGTTATTTGCCTCGTTTCTTCCCAGTAGTCCTAAGAAGCTGCTTGAGGGTGTTTAGGCTTTCGGCAAACAGACGTCGACTAAGGCCGACAGGAAGTCCAGTCCATGATAACGATGCTCGTTTGTTTGAGGCGATACTGCATCGATGAAAACATATGACAGGTTTTCCTTTCTAATCCATGTTCGACTCGTTATAGTAACCACAGGAGTAGTTCTAAACAAATATTTGTTCTCTCTAATCTAAGTTTCATTAACTAAGTAACGCAATTCTACTAATTTTTTCAGATAATCGGTTCTGTGCAAATTTAACATAAATTGGTAACATTCATTTCGTTGGAAACGCAGTGATAATTCTTCGGTCCAATTCGTCGTATATTAGTCACAAATGGTGAAGAAAACTGCTTTCGTAGAATAATCCTATACTATATATAGATGTATGAGCTGTTGACATATCATCCCGTATATTATTTGATAAGCTGATCATGAATTGTTTGCCTGAGGCAGTATAAAATTTCTGCGACGCGCTCCGCTTGATAATTCTTTAAGACTATTTTCTTTCTGCTCTAAGTTTTAATTATCGATAAACACAGTTCTTTGAAATTTTTAGAAAAACAGTTCTGGGCAAATTTAACACAAGTCTTTAAAAGTTCACTTCGTTGGAAACGCGGTGATAATTCTTTGTTCCAATTCGTCGTATATCACAGTCACAAAATAACATACCGCACCATCTCTTCCATGGATCCCAACTGGTGAAGAAAATTGCTTTCGTAAAACAATCCTATTCTCAATAGATCTATGAAGCGTTGAGACATCAGGGTAAAGAAAGGTGTCTTCGACCATCTTCCAAATGGTGGTTTCCCTTGCCGTAAGGAAATAACTTTTCCCCTGCTTTGTTGAGTACAAGTGATTAGCTCTGATATGATTTCTCGCATTATCGTTGAGTGTATAACCATCTATCCAACTCCCTGTTGATCCTGACATTTCGCAACAACGCTCTCATCAGCTTAAATTGTGTCTTGTAACTTATCACAATTTCCGCTGTTAAATTTCGAGCAAACTGAAACAAATCCCTTTAATTTAACTGTTTTGACTCTCCATCGTGAATTTTGGAGAAAAGTTGACATCGACGCACCCCGGCCTGTAGGAAGTATCGTTAATATATTCGTCCACNTCCAACGCAACAGATTGCTTACCGACTCAAAAAAGAAAACTAAAAAGAAACGAGGAGTCGTAGTGATGAGTTTCGTTTCTTTTTTTTTCTTTATAAATCTTAGCGTGGTCGATAGCGGAAATCTGAATAAACCGTCCCTCCTGAACTTGAAATGTCATACCGAGGGTCGACTTGCAAGGCACTTAGAAAATAAGCCGCAAGTGGTTACGAAGAAGGGTTGAAAATGTTGTCGATTCGACTCGGATCGAGCAAGACATCTCAGTTGAAGTCGACCATAAAGCCGATTTGCAAGACAATGACAGAACATTCTGGACGTGACTTCGAAGGAGAGATGAAATTGTTGTCGAATCAGACGATTCTTCGTGCGAACAATGTCGATTCTTCAACGTTTCCTACCCCTTTTTAACGTTCTAGAACGAGGAAGGTGTAACTTTTGTTAAGTTAAAGATTATGTTTGGTTAGACATTAGTGACGCGTAAGATCAAAAAATGTCATCAATAGTACCGCGTGCGTTGTTGCTTGAGAGAGATTGATTACGAAAGAATTATCTGCGAAGTCTTAACTTAGAATTACTGCGTTCATTTGCGACTTCTAATTAGGCGTACAGAGAAGACAATCGGTAAGCGTATTTTTCACTCCCCTTGTTGTTTTCGTTTTATTATATGGTCGATTATTGTTAAGTTTTTGTGCGCTAGTCTTTTCTTGTATTGTTATGTAATAATTATTGCTTTAGCTTAGCTCCGTGTAATGTCGCTTAGACTAGGTTTTCTTGCTTGTATTTTAGTTTGACGTATTTGACAGCAGAATATTATTCCGCATTAAATCGCATTGGTATCACAGTCATATGTGTCTGGTGTCGAAATTCAGTGCTTCGATGTCCTCGTGAGAACTTTGAAATGCGACGTTCCTTCGCTGTTAAACGCCTGCATTTACAGAAGGCTCATCTATATTGTCTACAACCTTGTGCCAATGGACTTCCGGCCGTCTCACGTTTTAAGAACGAGGAAGGTTCCTGTCATTTTATCATTCTATTAAATTTCTCGCAACGTTCGCCCTTTCGACTTCCGTTAAGTTAACGCACAATCCGACTTCAGGTGAGTCGATTCGTCAACGACCGTGGACCAATCGAGTTAGATTGGGTGAAGGCTAAACCGGAAGTCTTCTCCTGCGAATCGGCTTCCGGCTGTTTCGTTCTTCAAGAACGAGGAAGTTTCCCATTTCCATTGGTTCATTCGTCAACTATTGTAGACGGATCGAGTCAGATTGTGTGTCTTGGACATGTATGGAGGAGGCGGCTTTTTGTTTTTTTGCCACTTTTTTTTCTGGCAACCTAGAGCCTGGATACGCTTTGACATAGTTAATCGAGGGATTAACTATGGCTATAGTTAATCGAGGGATTAACTATGGCTTTGATAATCAACGAAGAGTCTCACCTGCTCTGCGCACGTGCAGATGTTATTTAGCTTGTTTACCTCCGTTTATAAATATAAACGCCTGCACAACGCCTGCGCTGTGTTTGAGGTAATTTTTAAATGTCATGCGCATTGTGAACCGGCGACTGAAACGTGTCCTTTAAAAATCTATTAACATTGGGAAAGAGTTGCAAATCTCTGCGATCATAGTGGTTATTTAGAAGAGCTATGTCCAGTCACGAGGGTCCTTACCACCAAGGTAATAATTCATTCTATCAGGATGGTTTCTACCCAACGAATTACGATCAAAACACGTCAGTGCCGTATGAAAATTACGCCCATCAATATGGCGGAGCTTCTGGGAATTCGAGCGGTGGATTTTATAACTATTACAATGGAGGCAGTCAGTTTCAATCGCCTTACACGGGGAACATGAATCAAGGGATAACACAAGTCGATGAAGCCCATGGCACAGATTTTGACAACGAACCGCCGTTACTCGAAGAGCTAGGGATCAACTTCGAACATATTTGGCAGAAGACACTTTCAGTTTTGAATCCTTTTAAAGCGACTGATTCGCATATTATGGATGACACAGATCTAACAGGACCTCTCTTGTTTTGCTTGGCATTTGGAGGTTTCCTTCTCCTCCACGGTAAAGTTCAATTCGGTTATATCTACGGTTTCAGTGCGCTAGGATGTGTGGCCATGTATATCGTTCTTAATTTGATGAGTCTCACTGGAGTGTCTGTCGGGTGCGTTATAAGTGTCCTTGGTTACTGTCTTCTGCCCATGGTGGGACTGTCTGGTGTCTCACTGGTCATGTCACTTCAAGGATATCTTGGATCAATTCTTACAGCAGTAGTCATCGGCTGGTGTAGCTTGTCATCATCAAAGCTATTTGTGACAGCTCTTGCTATGGACTCTCAGCAACCTTTGGTGGCATATCCTTGTGCTTTAGTGTATGGAATTTTTGCACTGTTAACTGTGTTTTGAGAGTCTGCCACAGAGCTCTTGCTAATAATAATTATAAAACTTTGTGTAGCCCCCACTCCCCCCCCTCCTTTCCTTGCTAAGAGACAAACTGAAAAACTGTGTTGCATACCAGAGAATTTCTTTAAGGGGGCAATTGAAATATTCTTATACTTTGAACTTAACTTGCAGACCAGTGTCAACACATGCAACTACATTTAACCCTTCAGCTCCCAACCTCAGAAAGTAAATTCTCTTACCTGTGGACTTTACACTTCTGTTGGCTAATTGTCTGAATATTTAGTACAGGAATATATCCAGACACATTCTAGGTATTTATCTCAGTTTTATCAAATCTGTTTACCTTACTGTTTATATTAAATTTGTAAGGTGAAGTTGTTGTAGTTATTCTTCTTGGGTCAAAGGCTCGTGGACAAATTGTCATTTTGACATTGGAACAATAGTAGACTGTCAGATCAAGTGAATTCTGGAACTCAAATGATATTGTCCCTCTAGACTGCTTGACCAAAAACTGCAGTTTGTGAATGCGTTTGCACAAAATCCTAGAAAAAAATAGCAATTTGCCCATGTGATAATTATGTGTAGCTAATTAAATCAATTATCTAAGTATTTTGTCTACAATTCTTCTTTACAAAGCTGAATCTAAAAAGTCTACCAAAGTGAATTTAGAGGAAAGGTTACCAAAAATCTTAAAATGGCATCAAAGTTCTTCTAAGATGGATTAGATACTTTGCATGTGGCAAGAAGAATGCAGTCTGCAATGCTTAGGTCTACTAATTTCATGCACAAAGTGTGAGCAATAACACGTTCTCACCAGTGACTCAATTGCTGTTTAATCCTTTAACTTCCAAGATCAGATTGTCAATTCTCCCCTCTAACTGCGACACATTTCCTTGTAAATTATTTATGAGAGTTTGATGTTAGATCAAGATAACTTTCACCTGATAAGTTTGAGTATTCTCATTACCTGTTTGCTTGATAATCTACATTTTGTATAGATAATATGGGGAGAAGTTGCATGTTGATCACTTCAGGAAGTTAAAAAAATGTTACAGCAAGTCTACAATTTAATTGTCCCATAATGTCTGAGTGGCATGAATTAGCCTAATTTTCGTTACAAACTGGATAAATTTTTAAGGGGTTTACAGACACCCTTGAGGCCCTGGATAGCAGTACATACTTCAAGTTAGTGATTTTAAAGGAAGGGAAAGCAAAATATTTCAACTTGTGAAATTTAAGATGGAATGGAATGAACAGACATACTGATAACTGCATCATTTGAAGACCATGTTTTAATCACAAGTTGGATCTAAAACTACTGGGGTCAATGTTATGAGTTCTGTTAGCTTTTATTCAAAAGTGCTATGTCTAGCGAAAAACCTAGTTCTCAGATTTTAATGTCAAGCTCAATCTATGTGAACTTTGAGTTTTCTTGCAGGGATTTTTACAGGTCTTGGCACTGTATTCATTTTAGCAAAATGTTTATGTAGCTGAAAAAGTATTGAAAGATTTGCCTTGCATGTTACTTCACATTTTGTGCCATTGTGAATGTTAGTGAACTCAGCTTATGTCTGTATTTGTTGCTAGTGTATTTTTGCAAAAAGAACATTATTTGTGTCCAGAATTGCTTCTACGCACTGTAAAGAGAATTTTAATTGAAGTAATAGATATACATGTATATCAAAATCTGCAATTCAGTAGAACGAATACTCAATGCAGTTCAGGGAATAGTATATATTAAATATTCTGTAGATGACAATTGAGAACATTTTTCATAAATAATGTCTATCTCAAATTGTAAGAATGTGATAAGCAATGCTTTTCTGTAATAAGTTGTGAAAGGTGAAGGTACAAGAACAGATAGCTAGAAATATGGGCCTGTGGTTGCGTGGAATTATGGAACAACATTGATCAGTGAAAATAGTGCTATGTTTATGCGTTGCTGTTTCCAACCAAGCAAACTAATTTTGCGTATAATACATGATCCTCGCAGTAGAGAGCACTATTTATGCAATAGCGAAAATCAGACCTGAAAAAAATCAGGCCTCATATATTCATTGTATCTGATTTATCATCACGGGTTTATTACGAATCAACTTAACGACCTGCTCCCAGTTGGCTTGTTAGCTCAATTCGTAGAGCGCTGCACTAGTATTGCAGAGGTCAGTGGTTCGAATCTCGTACAGGCCTGATTTTTTTCAGGTCTGATTTTTGCATTTGCATAAATAGCGCTCTCTACTGCGAGGATCGTGCATTACACATATCTAATACTGCAGTTCAAAATATATGAACCTCATATATTCATTGAAACTAATTTTGGGTTGTCCTCATTAGCTTGCACCAAGATTTGATAGCTATGAACAGCAGGTTGTCTGAGTTTAGCAAGTCCAGTGTTTATTGTACCCCTTTATCTGTTGTAGGAGGCATTTCTGAAATTGCAATTTCTGGAGGAAATGAAAAGACATCGAAACCATTTGATCATAAAAATCATTTACTCTGGGACTACATTGTATGAGGTTGATTAACTACAATTCTTTGTTTGCATATGAGCATTAATTCACTTATACTGCCCTCATTTTTTGCATGGCTTATGTACACTTGTCCACTTTCTTCAGTTATGGTATTGAAAACCAAAAGTGCAATCAGACATCAGCATTTTCACCCGAGTAGCAGTATGCACATTCTCCTTGCAGTTAAAAGGGGAATTTGCTTAATAAATGAAGAGCTTTTTGATCTTGCAACAATTGCCTTCAGTATACATCAGTCACACAAGTGAATAGTGCTTGTTGTGCATGCTCACTGTTTAGTTTGGAAGAGTATAGCAAGTATTATTCATCCCCGAGTAGGCAATGAGACAAACTCATGCATTAATGAAAGAAATTGAGTTTTTGGTAACTGAGTGGTAAGTACTAAAACAATTATTCACCTCAGTGTTAGTAAAAGTGGTGGATATTTACCTCACCGGTTTGTGGTTCAGTAGATATCAGCCACTATTCTTCTCCACTCTGGTAAGTAATTAATTCTTTCCATGATCTCATGCTTGAGTAAGGGGTGACACTTTTGGGAGAGATCAGATGCTTAGCACTCAGAGGTTAAAGGGTAAGATAATGGCGCTGAGTGACTTCACCTCCAAAGTCTATGATCAAAGGTGCCTGCGACTAGGAGAGAATCTTGAGTCTTGAGTGTGACTTGCAAATCAAGAAGCCAGTACTCAAGCCCACCCGGTTGGAGCTTCTCCAGGTTTTCTCAGCATGGAGTATTACTAATCCCCCCTGGATGCGATGCTCATCCACTGCATCGTTACCCCCCACAGCATCTCTCTAGGCTTCCCTGACAAGTCACCAGTATACCAGTATCCATTTGTACTCCTGGGGGGGGGGGGAGGAGGTTGTGGGGGAGAGGCTCTGTGAGAGGGAACAAGAACACAGCACATTGACCCACCGAGGTCACAATATGGATCTCCACCCAGAGTCCAGTGCACAGACCATAAGGCCACTCTGTCATAATTGTATTTGCAAGTTGTTTCTTTTCTTTTTCCTGTGTATATGAAGCAGAGTTGTCATTAGACTTTAAAATACATGTGAAATATATACTGAGGCAAACAAGAGCAAAAGTCAATTTCAAGTTGCAGTTTTTATCATGTCTGAGAGGAAACAGCAACAAAGTCATTTTGGAAGGAAAATTTTCAACTTGTAGTATTCTGTTTAATCACCTTTCACATCATTTTTCATGTTAATTATTTTGTAAATTTTACACACTATCATTATCATTTACTGATAAAGTTTTCAACATGACTATTATAATTGTTATCTTCATTATTTTTATTACTATTATCATTATCATCATCTCTGTGATAACTGTTATTAGTATTGTTACATTATCATCATTATTATAATTATCATCATTTTTTTATCATCATTATTATCTTTATTATTAACATTGTCATCAATATTATTATTATCATTATTATAAATTAATCACAACTTTGCTAAATCCAAATCCTATCTAATAATAACCCTAAAAATTATATTCATTTTAAACCTGCATAGCTAAAGCAGAATCTAAAGTCAACTGGTAAAATTATCAACAAAAAATGCAACCATTCACTGAATCGAAATATTGCGTCCAATTTGAATTACCATTGTTTTAGACTTACTAGCCTCGTCTTCACGTGGAAACACAAAAGGATTATCACATGTATGAGAGGCTAGTAAGTCCAGAACAATGGCAATTCAAATTGGACGCTATATTTCGATTCGGTGTATTTGGAGGATGTTATAAAAACTATTTTTATCATTACCGTTATTATTTTTCATTATTATTAGTAAATGTCAATTTCTCTTTGTGGATAGAGAAGCATTCTTTTCAGTTTGGTTTCATTTTCTTGGAATTTTCTGTAATGCCTTTTTTGGCCCATGCAATGTTGTCTTAAACTTCTTTGCCATTTGTGGAACCCATTTTGGGGCCAGATAACCTCCTATATATGCACCTTCAGAGCTTTCCGCTCTGTACCTAAAATGATGAAAAATTCAGCGTCATCTTCCCTTTGAAGGGTAAACCGAATATCCTCCTATAATGGAGTCCACTTTGTTTTGGGGATTATTAGTTGAAGATTCACTGAACCTGCAAAGACAACCTGTGTATTTCTCACAGGAAAGGTGATTATTATACATCAATTTCATTTACTTTTAATATCTTCAAAGACATTTCAATTATTTATCTATTCAAAATTTTTAACATTTTGCTAGGGGTTAAAGTATAAACAAAAACCTCAAATAATTATTTGACAAGCGAATAGCTTTTTCGACTGTAGAAGAACAAATAACTTTTATGAAAAAATCTAAAAGCATGTTTCAGCGCCAGATGGTGGCAATTGTGTCATTTGCATTTTTGAGAGACTTCTCAGAACATGGAACCACAACAGCCTACCGTTGCAAAGTGATTTTGGCCTTTCAGAAAAAACAAGTTTGTCTTCCCTTTTGCAACAAAGCAAAACGTACCACTACTTTGAATCAACCTTAAAAGAAGACTTGAATTTGAAATAGAGGAATTAATACCAATTTTCAACATTTTTTCTGCAGGAGAATATTCGGTCACGTGATCCACGGACCCTCTCTACTCTTTCCCTTCGTCCGTCAGAGGCGTCTTCGTCTTAGTTGATAAAATGAACTAAATTATCTAAGCAATGGCACTTCAGAGAGTACTCAAGTTTTCCCCCAATTGTTCCTTCACGAGGACTTCGACGACGATTTCTTGAAAATGGGATTTCACTTATTGGAATATCTGACTTATGCCAGTTTACAAGTTAGGTTCGTTAACTTCAAGTACGGTCGGAATCGTTGGTGATGACGAGCGGGCTTCTTCATGTGGAAATTCTTGCTGAACTTTTCCCAAACGCCTCGACTGAGCTGAACCAATCCTCGGAAGAGTTGGCGAATCAATGCGCCTTTCAGAATTGTCAAATTTCGTTAGATCTGTGAAAGATAGGGAACGTCGGAAATTCGGAAACGGAAATGGATGGGGAACGTTCTTGTTAGCCAGTACAGAATTGCGCTTCAGAAGTTTTGCAGTGGTAACTCCTTTAAAAAAATTCCGACTCGTTGGTAAATCAGTGTTCTTTCTTGTCCTTGTATCACCATTCCTCTGTTCTTCAGATAAGTCCGATGCTGTATCAATCTGCTTGGTTTTTTTTCTGAGTTTGAATGAAGCTGTTAGTTGCCATTCGTAGACTTGATATACCTGTCGAAGTTGATCTTTGTACGTTCTTTGCCCCTTCCTGCAACCAAGATCTTGTTCACAAGCTTTCTTGCCAAAACATTGACTTTGCCTCGTTTGAGGGTTATCTTCTACAAGTGCCCCGCACATGTTGCCCTTGCTCAGACCATTATAGGTTGAATTGTCATTTGTCAACAAAACACTTTCCTGAATTCCCTTCGTTTTAGCCCATTCCAGCGCCGTTCTCTTGTGATTCCAGTCTCTGCTATTGAGGCAGGCATTGCCTTCTGTTATAAGATACTTGGCAGTGATGACATCTCCGTTGATACACGCTTGCATAAGTGGTGTAAATCCTTGAGTATTTGGCACATTCACACTGAGTTGAAACTTCTTAAGTGCTAAAACAATTGCGCTCAAGATCTTCAAATTTCCAACGTCTGCTGCATAAAATAGCGCAGTGTTTCCTTTCTTGTCTCTGGAATTAAGATCAAAATTTCCGTTCTCGTCCAAAAATAAAGCAACCAAACTTTCTTTCTGTCTTTTCACTGCCGTAGAAAATGCTGTTAAACCCTCGTTGTCCGTTATATCAACTTTTGCTCCTCCTTTTAACAAACGCACAGCGATCGCTACTGCCAAGGACTCCGGCTCAAGAAAACACAGTTGAATTAATGCTGTTTTTCCCTCACTGTCCTTCAAATTCAAATTTGTTCCCAGATCGATCAGGAAACGAACTTGTTTGAAACGACGCTCGGAAATCGCTTTATTCAAAGCGGCCATTTTCAGCACTAGCTAGTTGGGTTATCTGAGACGGAAGTTCAACTGTTCCTAAAAGTGTTTTTCTTTCCTAAAAGTGTATAACATATCAATTCTCCGGCGGCGCAAGACTTCCACTATTTTATTAAGCTTTACAGCAGCTGTTAAGTCCCACATAGTGAAAATACTTTAAATTGAAAGTAAACTGATATGAAAATGATCTCTGAGAATCTTCGTAGAGAAAAAAAAATTGGCATTTGAGTTAAGTTCCTTTCCTTTTTATTTCTAAACTCAACTATATCATTTAGACGCGTATTCTGTATTCTGTGAGTTGTTGTTTTAGTAAAACCAGCGGTGGTTGGATATATAAGCGGGTCATAAAACAAATAACGGAACGAACACCAAAATAAACAATCCCACGTAACGTATAATTTTCAGATTATTGCATATTGACAAGTAAATATGTTAAAGAGCTCTTTCGCTCGATATGTATTTATCCAACTTATTATGTCTAACAAAGGAAAAGAAGGCAAAGCAATTTAAATTTTACCCTGTCGTCTCATTTGATAGCACCGGTTTCTTTTTTGATCTTGAACTTTTCATATTTGCATTTTGAAATAATACCATTAGGAAGCCGGAAACCGAAAAGTCCATTTATATTTAATGGTCTAAGAAAGCTTTAAAAGGCAGGTATTGTTGAACTGTTTAAATTTTTTGATGTTTCAAGTTAGAGTTGCGTTTGAAAAAAAATTGGAAAGGGTAATGTGTTTCTTCTGAAGATTAAAACCCAGACACAATGTAGCTGATTCACCCGCTGTGAACAAAAATAGTTTCGCATTTGATATATAAAGATTAACTAATTCAAAGGCTTCGAAGTATTCCATATGTAAAGATTAACTAATTCGAAGGCTTCGAAGTATTCGATGAATTAAACACGTAAGCTTTGACGAATATAATTACTGACCACTAGTCAGTTGACAGTGCGTTGTCGTGAGACTAGAGTGAATTGTTGTTACGGGAGCTATTTTCGCGGAAGTGTTATCTTTTCCACGAATGATAAGTCCCGTAAAGAGTTAAAGAGCTTCACATGAACCAACTTCTTGAGGGAAGTCAGTTGGCGGCCGTCGCTTGAAATCCACTCGATTCTTATGGTGATTTCTGGAAAAACTTGCAGCGAAAGTTGCCAAATTTGCAACTTCTGTTCAACAGCTTTGTAATATTTTTATTTCGTAGTATCTAGGGTCGTGAATTTAATTGCTTTAAATATCATGTAACATTGCTCAAATTTTTTCTGTTTCTTTTTTTTTTTTTTTTTTCATTCTCTTGAGTAACAGAAAGACAATTACTTGTATTTACTCTATGCTAATGACACTGCGATAAGCTACAGCAGTAAGAAACCAGATTTTACCTTTTTTTTTCCGCAGGCTAAGTGGTGCTTCAAAGGTCTCACTTTCAAAAAAGGATTAAGCAGTTCAAGGCCAGATAGGTGTTTTAGACAGCGGGAAATATCGGCTAGCATATTATTACTTTAATTTGTCCATTTCCTTGATTAAGCTTTATCAAACTCTTTACTCTTAAAGGGAAGCAGCATTCTTTTGAGTTAATTCTTCTTTTATAAAAAAAAAAAAAAAATAACAATAACTCTGTGTCAGAGTATGGAGTGGTATGTTGCTCGCGCAAAAAGGGCACCGCATTGAGGTAAAACAAAATATATGCAGTATGTACATTAGTTCGTACCAATATGTTCACCGGAGCATTAGGGTATGCTTGCACCAATCAGAGTCTAAGGGTATTGTCCCTCTTAAGCTTGCCAATTATGTCATGGAATTAGGGTGGCAAAAAATGTTGCAATGAAATTAACTCAAAATTGACGCACACTAAAAATGACAGACAAAGAACTGCGATTTCATTTAAGCACTTAAATGGTTGATGTCCTTCGTGGGAACCTCTTTGCTACTCTCTGTTGGGATTAGAAAGGTAGAAATGGAATTTTTATACCATTTAGAGGTGTAAAACCAATACGTAGGGCCCCACTGAGAACTGCCGAGTCGAGTGAGCTCCCCAGATAAAAATTGATATTTTTTATGATAATGAAATCAATTTTTTCCATTGACTTACTTTTCATGCCCGGCTGTATAGTGCTGCAGGTAATTGTTAATTTATTTTTGCTTCAGGACTGTCTCATTTAGTAAACAGAAGCAAAGGAAAATTAAATGCTAAAGAAATTGTGGTTCAAAAAGATTATGGCATCTTTTTTTGCCGCATTTTCTTCGGCATGAAGCACAGTCTCAAGACACTACGGCTGCATGCGATGTTGCGAAAGAGGTAGAGAGCCAACATGCTGTGCCCAATGGAAAGAAATGGATTGGTAATGAGGAGGTAAAATGTTTCATTCCAAGCTCTCAGGGTTTTTAATTGTCTCATCAAGGACTAAGGTACATTATTGTGACTCAAGTGACTTGAGTCACCGGAGTACTCTGCCACTTCTTTTTCAATCCAATGCTTATCGTGACAACCTCAGTGGTTGATGGTGAGAAAAGCGTTTATGGTATTGATTCGAAGCGAAGTTTAGGAATGACATGTGCTGAGTTCCTTATGCTCTTTAAAACGAGCTTGCAGCTTAGGGAACTCAACTGAGTAGGTTTTCTGTTCTTTTTTTTTTTGTCTGACGCGCGGTGTATGGGAGACAGAAAACAAAAACTATATTAACAATGATAATCATAATAAAAATCAGCTCTACATCAAAAAATGTTGGGGCAAAACAAGCGAGCCAGACGTTTGATTTGGAATGCAGTTGTCGCTTTGTTTTCAGGCCTTTTAACATCATTGTTGTAATTTATCATTATCAATTTTGTTTATAGAGGGCCACCAGTGAGAATACTTTTCAAAGTAATTGGTGTCGCCCTCTTAAAATAAAGGCGACTATATATCATCAAGATGCTCGGCAAAATTGCAAGAGGACAGGTAAAGATACTAAAAACGTTAATAACCGTAAACGCAGAATAAACACAGGGAGGAACGTTTTCTTTTTTTGGGATGAACAGAAAGACGACTGTAACCATATCTAGGTACTAAAATGTTTTCGATGTTGATTTTTAACGTCCTAGTTTTAATTATGCTTTTTTCCATTATTTGATTTTTTTTCTAATTTAATTATGGCCATACTTTGAGCTGAAGGATTCTCCCCTTGTCTCTCATTTAACCGGAATTTTCTTCCATTACTACAACGAAGCCAATATTAGCTTCTCTCTCTTTTTTTTTTGAATAATTTCTATTTTACAATATTCACACAACTAGGATTTATACCATACTTGACAGTACTTTAAAAATTACTGACCTATTCATGACATTAACATTACTCAAAATAGCAAAATTATCTACAATGATAATGGTTGCTACGAATTTCTTTTCTTTGAAGAAAGCGTAGTTTTAATTAATGCATATGCGGAACTAGCCAACAATATAAACAGATAATCTATGTTGACAAGCGGAAAATTGCCCTGATGTTGGCTTTTGCTCTTTGAAATAAGAGCTGTTGGCAATGATTTTAATGCTAGAGAAAGCTGAGAAATGTTTTATTCTGAGTTCTAACAACTACTAAATTTGGCGATGAAAAAAGTCCATCCGTACTTTTCTTAAAAGTGCTGACGAAGACAAGCTAACTTTTCCGCAGTCCTAGTTTTTTATCCGAGTAAAACCACATGTGTCAGGTCTCAAGTGGATAAAGACTTCTTGCAAGGGCTTTTCAGTCTTGGTTTCCTTTGTATCCATGGAGAGAATAGTAAACTTCTATCAAATTTCTTAACTTTTCTCACTTTCTCACTCTTCCCTTTTTTCCGGCTGTGTAATCAGTTTATGCAATTCTCACTCGATTCGTTTCAAAAATCTTTTTTTCAAGTTCCTCGGCTTGAGAGAGAGTTTTTCTTGTTAACATCTGAATGAAAGCTACGCGAAATTGTCTGATTCTTATAGTGTAGATGAGAGGATTCATCGATGAATTCAACGCAACCAGAAATACACTAGGAAGGAAAGTGATATATCCAAAGTCAGAGGAGTCTCTTACGACAGAGTTAATGACAAGAATCTTATGAACACACAGCGGAATATAACAAAGAAAAATTGTCAAAACTATCACAACGGTCGTATTCAAGGCCTTCTTATTCTTGAGTAACTTTTCCTTCTCTGCTTTGGAAACTTGATTGCCAATGATTTGCTTTGTATTGCGACGAACTTCTCGGTATATCACAACATGAAAATAAACGACAGTGGAGATAATGGCTGAGACCAGAAAAACGTTGATTTCTTGAAATATGCTGGTTTTGCTGCCAGAGAAAATCGCTGCGCACATCCACAGCAAACCTGATGCCATGATAATACGAGCTTCAGTTACTAGGCCATTCTCATACGCGAAGGGGTGTTTAATCGCTAGATAACGTTCCCCGCTTATTAAAAACAAGTGGAAAAGCGATGCTCCAAGACATATTCGATTAACATCGTTGGTTACGTCAATAAAAGTGCAGTGAAGCCTGCCAACTATGAAGACCAAACTGAAATTGATTATGCTCAAAGGTTGAACAATCAGTCCCACAGCAAAGTCAGTTGTGGCCAAGCAAGCCAGCGAGATGTTAGATTTTGTACGGAGCTGTCGCTTTGTTTTAACGGCAACTATTACAAGAATATTCAGGAAAATGGCAAAAGGACAAGTTAATAAATTTAAAGCTGCATACGTGGCGAAAGCAGCATACACGCTAGAAGAGATATTTGTCGGAAGATATTCTAAACCACACAGAGATGATGTCGTGGTTGGCATGTTGATTCTTTATGGTCGCGTATTGAGTGGAGCAAATCCTTCCCTGTCTCTCTCTCATCTGTGTTTTATGGTGACTTGAACGAAACAAATTGCTATTGTTACTTGATTCTCACTTCAGTACAAGCGTATTGTCTGTTTGAATGTACAGACAGAAAGCCGACATGCCAAGAAGATCTGAGTAAATGAGGGAAAAAAGTACTTGCATGTTGGCTTTTGCCCTTCCTAAGAGCCACTGACCATAGCTATCGAGAATCCGCCGACAGATACAAAATTTCGTAATCCATTCTATTTTTTCTAAATGACCCTTTTAATGAACCTTTTCGATAGTTATATCGAAAGGATTTATCGTCATTTTAGCCCGAACTCTTTTCAAGCTGGACGCGCTGCTTGTGGCGGGCCAAGAAAAAAACTTTGATGAATTAAACTTTAAGAGTAAAGCCTAAGTTAAAGATTATGTATATTTTGATTTGTAGATATATAATACCAGAACTTTTAAAGGCCTTTAAATTGGTCGTGACAGCTGTTTAGCCGTTTGCACTGCATTTTTGACAAAATAGCTCAAACTCTTTTGAACCTGGGCGCGCCGCCTCTTGCGGGCCAAAATAGAGTATCAGAGGAATTAAAATACAAGGATAAAGCTTTTGGGTGGTGTATATTATGATTTATTACATGGATACTGATGAAATACCTGGATTTTTCCTTTTAATAAAAAATCATATCTTTATCGCGCGCAGTGAAGATACCATTTTCATCTTTCACGTGAGAGGATATTGATGTCGCCATGAAAGTAATGCTCACTCGTTCGCTTCGCTCACTCGCGAGAGATACTTACAGCACTCGTATCCCCACGCGACCATGTAATATCCTCTATTTGTAGATATATTAGGCAGACCTATAAATAGGCCACCGAAGTGGCTTACATAGACTAAACGCAACAGCATAACAAGAAATTTATATTTTCCAAGAGATAAGAAGACAATCTGCCAGCACACATAAGATTAGAATGTATGGGTGGAAAGGTATCCGGATATTGGCCTGCACTCTTCGCAACAATCTAAAGTAGTTTTTTAAGGATTTTAATGCTAACGATGCCGGACAGAAAGCTTGCCAAGGACATGATTCATTAAAAGGAAATGGTTTTTAAGAGCTAAAAATGAAATTGATAACTTAGCGGTAATTTCATTTTTATTTCCACTCGGAAAGCCTGAACAATTTTTTTCATTTTCATCATGTATTGTTGCTAATTGAGAGTTAAAGCGAATGCAACTAAAATAAAAGTGTTTTATACTTTATAAGTCATCAAGAATAGTGAATCAATTAGTAAGGGACTACAAACCAAACTGCTGGTGATGTAAGCTGGATCGTGGAAAGTTCTGATCGAACAAAAATAAGAACAGGGGTACCACATAGACGGAGAGATGATCAAGCTAAGTTGAAAAACGAACAAATCTCTGTACAATGGAGTCCAAATTGAAACCCAGCATGCCAATAAGAACAGCTTTGTTCATCTGTTTGGATTTCACAGGTATGTTTAAGCAGTGAGAAAACAGAATGAGCAGCACTTGTAGATCATAGTGGATTGTCTACTAAGTTCTGCACTTGCATTAAAACATACGATGCAACGTTTTCTTTGTTAAAAAATGATTGTTGTGGTCATGTAGTAAATAAGAGAATATATCAACAAAGTTGAAATTGTAAATAGGCCACCGTTACGATTATAAAAGCTGACGTTTCGAGCGTTAGCCCTTCGTCGGAGCGAATAGGGGAATTGTGGGTTGTGTGCTTTTCATTTAAGGCAGAAAAAGGAGCTACTTTCTGCCTTTAAAAGCCCACACAACCCACAATTCCCCTATTCGCTCCAACGAAGGGCTAACGCTGGAAACGTCAGCGTTTATAATCGTAACGGTGGCCAATTTACCATTTCAACTTTGTTGATATATTCATATTATTTCGTTACCCCCACCGACGCAGCCCCAAACAGTTTCTTTAGAAACTATCAGCCTTATTCATTAGTAAATAAGAGAGCAGTGAGTCTCCATACTAAAAATCCAGAGTACAAAAAAAGCAAAGCGCCATACATTGCCTCACCCTCGTTTTGTTCACTTTGTTATTTGCGATGCAGAAATGTTAAACAAAATAAAAAAAAAAAAAACATCTCCCTATTTCATTATCGAGCTTAAAATTCACCATACCTGTATTTATTTTCGCTTGTTTTGGCTTTCAATTTATTCTTCTAATTCTTCTTCTAAAGAGCAGTTTGCGCCTTCTAATGTACTTTTAATGTCTGAAAAAGCTTCTTTCGGAGTTCTAACATCGAATAATTGTGACGAGCCAGAAAAATAATTTCCACACTTTTGATGAGTTGTAATAACGGGAAACCGTAGAATTCTTGTTTTTACTATGTCGCCTAGGTCAGTTCAGAGTTATTAACCATTAATTCATGATAAACAATGATCGCTGTTTTTCTTTCGACCGGAAGTGGTATCCAAAGGGAGATAAGTTTTTGTAACTAAGCTCTTGCTAAATAACCAAAGGTATAAGTGAACATATATAGCCGGGGACTTCCATGAAATTTAACTGAAGCTGAAGGACGTATTTTTGTGTTCGTGTGATTTTCTATCATCTTTTTTATGATTTTTTATGGTTTTGTCTTTAATAGTTCTCCTTTTAGGCTTGGTTTATTTTGGTTTGTTTGCTTGTTTTTATTTTTGTTTTTTTTTTTTCGAGGGGGGAGGGGGAGGGGTTGCGCTTGAAGACACAGGAACGAGAATGGGGTCTGAGCTCTAAGGTATTGTGTTTGCTGTGGGGGGAAGAGATGGGGTCCTTCTGAAGAGACTACCTTCTCAATCAAAATATTATATTGTTTTGTCTTAATTCATCATGATCGTCAACATTAAGTGATTGTTCTTGATAGGGCCTCTTGTAAAACGTAGTCTGACGCAGGCCATGGTCTAATTTCACTCAGTCAAGGGAAAGTCCTTGAGTTGTCGTTATAAGGGCCTTATTTATTTGAAGACGTTAACTGTTTTTCCAATATTGGCTATTTGCCTTCTTGACACGTTCAGATCAAACGCTTGACTCTTTTGAAGATGCTTTAGGGTAAGGTTTCATTAACTATCGTCATCAACGGTCCATAGTCTTTAGGACATAAACAGAAGAAAGGTCACAACAACACCAGAATGCATGCTTCAAATTTATTTAAAATAAACCATCACCTAACTGTAAAATCCCAAAAACGAAAATTTGAGAAGAAAAGAACATTTTTTTTTTCTAGCGTTCTGTTTGTATTTCTGATAAACAATAAAAAAATCTAAAACTAAGCGAAAAAAATTGTAGAAATTGAATTAAAAAAAGCGAAGCCGTTTCCGTACAGGTTGGTCTGAGTCTTGGGTTGTTGTTGTTGTTCTTCAGTGTCTCTGCTGGGAAAATTAAATCAAGGTTAGATTCTTAATTTATTGCAGTAAAAAATCTTCTACAATAACCAACACACTGGATCCACAAGACCAAGGGAGGAGAGTGTAGAGGGATAGATGTAACCTCCTCTTTCCTCTTTGTTGTGATTCAGTGTGTTGACTGGATGTATTTTACCGTCAAACAAGGAATCGTTACTGAGAATGGCCATCTATGAGGCTCTGAATTCTCTTTTTTTTTAACGTGCTTTTTCCGTTCATCAAATCTACTTAAATAGGAAAAAAAAATGATGGACTGTTATTGCCTTCAACACTTTTCCTGCCAGGACTTGATGAACTGGTCAAGCTGCTGCACTTTGTCCTTTGGGTCTCTGTACTCATTCCACTCTTCACCATCAGCGTCACCGCACAAACCACAAACACGACTGCGCAGAAAAGGCGAGGCGTACAGGTCGATCCGCTGATCTTGATCCATGGTAGCGTGCAGACCCATCTGAGAGAAGTTACAAAACCACAGAGTTAAAATCAGTATAATATCATGTAACTCACATGGAAAAAGTGTTTTGATTACGATGAGAGTTAAACGAAATATTTGTATGGTTTTGTTTGGCGTTTGGTAAGGGTTTGTTGAAGCGCAAGGGAGTTATGATTTTCTTTCTCTTCAAGACTGCCTTTTTTGCGCTCATTTGTAAATGACTTGTGAATCAAATTCTGGCTTACTTATTCTATATAAGACGACTGTGATAGAAAAAGAGTAAGGGTTTTTCAGCTGGATTGGGTCAGGCATTGGGAACGTCAAAGTTTACCTGATATGTCTGTAGATTAAATAAAATTCAAGAACACTCAAAAAAGAAACAACTTTGAGTTTAAATTTACAAGACATGTTTCGACATTCTCATGTCATCTTCAGTTGCAAATGAGCAATTAACTGTTGTACATTTGAATTTATATTAAGGTACGTTACAAACTACGTTTCAGGGCTTACGTTACATTTGAATGTTAAAAACGCAAAAAATGTAAATAGCGCGCGCTTGACGAGATCAAAAAATAAATAAATAAATAAAATAGTAATAATAATAAAATAAAAGACCAAGGAACAACACTATTAAAAGGAAAGAGACAATTCTAGATGTTTCAATTGCTGATTAAGGATAGGTTTTAACTTGCAAATTTAAACTCAAAGTTGTTGTTTCTTTTTTGAGAGTTATTGTCACTCTGCTGTCTTTAAGTCCTTTTGGTAACAAAATTCAAGAACAGTATTTCCCATACTCGTTTAGCACTTTGTGTATAAACTACACGATTCTTTTTAGTGTCATAATGATATTTACAAGTGCTGAATGTAACGTAATTGCTACTCATGTCATGTAATTATTACTTACTATTATGGATATGTCTACCACGATTTATTTTGAAGGCAAGAAAAGAGAAAAAAAATTTCGCCCAATTTACAAAAAAGGCGGGAAAAAAACTAAAGATCACTATGGTTTTCTTTGAAATTTGACACCTTTTCCTTCCTGGCTAGTTTTGGCTTGTTTTAAATCGGCTCACATCACCTGCAGGTATTTGACAAGGAATATCTCCTACCTTTGTTGACAGCTGAACCTGAGTCTTCCCATCAGCCCGTTGTGCTTTGTGGACAGAAACTCCACCTAGTTTCGATTTACATGCCTTCTGAGAACAGTCCGCTCTCTTGCCGTCAATCAAAGTGGTGCCGTCTGGTTTAACGACACATCTAACTGACTCTTGGGCTTGTTGTTGGAATGAATGGCGGATGCTTACAATTAGGGTCTTTAGACCTTGCTCGTCAATTTGCACAGAGACCTGACAAGTAAGGAGAATTGAGTCATAGATAATTTTTGGAATAAATTATGATGGGAATCATATGTGTCGAATGTAAGCCAGGTTTGCTACCTCCCCCACCCCTCCCATGCGACAAAAAAAAGGAATACCGCTGAACCACGAAAGGGAAACATCGACGCGCCTCCCGTGAGGGAATATATCGTAACTCTTGCAAATGCAAAGGTATAACCTGAAATGGTGAAATAAGTCGACATTAATTAAATGCAGTGTTAACAATTATAAAATACTGAAATATCTTCAGTCAGCTAAAGCAGTTGTTAAAACTTCAGCTTTTCCTTATACGCTTAGACTACCTGATACAAAATCCAGAGCACCGAGATAACAAGGTGCTGGAGCATCCGATGGTTTTTTGATTACATATCGATCTGGGCATCAGTTAACCATCATGAAATCGGCCTGTGGTGTTTTTGTTTTATTTTATACATCCGACTTTCAAAGTCATCTGAGCTTTGAAAGAGGCAGCCTCACCTGGATTCTAGATTGCTTGTCTTTCCTTTGTTCCTTTGCAAGAGTATATGGACAACCGCCCTTAATGTTGTGTTCGTACTGTAGTTGGTCAAACACCTTAATGTTGTCTTTTTGGACCTCACACTTGGCTACGAAAGAGAAGATAAGACTTCGAAATAAACAATGAATACCTTGCAGATGTTTAAGCAACAACGACGAGATACAGTTCGAAATAAAATGCGGTAACTTTTGCCGTAATCATAGGTTTAATGATTGTCCATGTTTATCGTGTCATTTCATTTGTCTGTTTTTCATTTATCAGAACTTTAGTTGAAGAGGAAAGTTCAAAATTCCTTCAGGAATGCCCGCCCTATTCCAAAACAAAGCTTTACACCCTAATACCCAAAAGCCGAGTAGACGGTCCAAAACTCTATCTTTCTGGCTTTGTTTTCATCAGTGTTTACATATTTTATATCACAATACAAAATAGGATGTTTTGAAAGTTCTCTGAATTCTCTTCAAAACCCCGCAAGGCAGGTAAGGCAACTTTCTCTTTCTTGCGGAACTGTGATAAACGAGAACTCTCAAGCTTTTAATGATTATCTCACCATAGAAGTAGTTCTTGATTTCTTGTAAAGAAGACGGAAAATGATCCACTCTCAAGGGTAGATTAAGGCCAGTTCTCTCAACAATAGCGTCTGGAGTTCTCATCTTCAGCCTAGCAGTCAGAGGCGACGTAAGAGCAAACTCAATCTGTACTTGGTTTTGGGATTGTTCTGGACGCCTGATCCAAGCAAACTGTTGAAGGAAATACCAGATCTGTGGCTCCCAGTTGTAGAAGAAGGTTACCCACTGCTCTGGGACCTAAAAATCATGAAAAAAAGAAAACTCAGCTAAAAAATCTTGGGAAGCAATTAAAAAGAGAAGTAAAGTGTCAATTTTCTCTGGAATTAAAAGGAGTTTATGCTTACTTTTGTCCACTGCAACATCAGACGCGCCGTTTTTCCCTGATCTTGAACCTGCCCAGATGCGGAGACCTGATACTGAAGTTTTCCTCTTCCAAATTCTAGTTTCATTTCTCCGTACCTTGCAGTCATTCTCGCCATTCCACCATCGTATCCCTCGGCCTGGATATCTCCTACTTGGATAGCCATCTGGTAAGCTGCTTTGTCCACGGTCATCCTGTAAGGGATTCGGCGACGAGCAGTTTGTGATGAAGCGTTGATAGAACCTTCAACTTGCCATTCTGTGGGAACAAAGTCAGTGTCATTGATTATCATTACACTGCTCATCTTTGCTGTGCGTAATTGCAAGGACAATTACTATGCCGACCTCAGCAAATAGCGACCTGGACCGCGAAATATGGGGATAAAAAAAAGCCAAAAGGAAATCCATCACAGGATCAATATTGGAGTGATTTCCGGTGTGAATTGATGCTAACAAATTCAGACCACTGTCACGTTTCTTTTTTAGTTACCTTTTTCACTTTTTTGGGTGACCTGACCCCTGCAATGTACAGCGGTTGGTTTGTCCGCGGCTGGTGCCATGGAAACGCGAAGCTTAGTCAAAGCAACTGCTGGGAAGACAGGAACCTGTTGAAGCCTCAAGGTGGGGAGGTCTGGAACCCACCCTTCGGCACAAATCTGGACTCCAAACAAATCCTCTCCCTTACAAGGCACCTGAACCTTGAAAAGAGAGAGAAAAAAAAGGAAACTGGAAGCATTGCTCCTTTTTCCCGCTCTCATTATGCGAATTTGGTATCATTTCACTCGCATTAATTATACTTTCTGATAGGCCCTTGACTTTGATTGCAAATTATGTTTGCCTTCTTAGTAGTCCAATACATGTCTAAAAATGAAAAAAAGGGGACTAACTCTAAGATTAGCACCAAGCAGTGAGATTATATCTTTTAAAATATATCTTTTTGGCATTAAAGGTAATCTCGTATTGGATTAGGCTCGCTTTCCAGTGCGGCGGGATTTAGCCAATCAGGTGTACTCGTGGTTTTCCGTATGCGAAGTGCTCATGACATCCTGTGATATTTGACATTGTTTTTAATTTTCAAAACCCACTCCGAAAGCCCACGACAGTCTAGCTGCCACAATCCTTTTACCTGTTTAAGATGAGGCGTCTTAAAATCAAAACGAAGTTGCTTCTCCTCCTCTTGACAGGTCTTAGGGTCTTTTTCAGCAACAAATCCATGTGCGTCTGACCTAAAAATGAATTCAGTCATATTGATCGCCACATGATTGCCCTTACTCATTGGAAGAGTCTGGTTTGCATCAAAGCAAATATTTCAGCTGATAATTTGCCTCAATCTTTCACCAATGTGGTAATATTTGTGACGGGGATAATACTTGGTTCGAAAAGAGTTCGATTTGTTTAAATTTAATTCATTGTAACATTTTGTGCAGTAAACATTCTTGTTTATCCTGATACTTCATATAATCGGTTTAATTGTGCATCTAGTCAATATTTTAACTGTGCATTTTTATCATTTTATTCTGAAAATATTACCATCCCAACATTTAAATATCCTTCATTGACTCTCACTCGCTAATGCATTAAAAAATCCTTTCTGTTATAACAGGTAATGAAGAAATCAAAATAATATATACTTGATTTAGGTGACAGAACTCAATTTATGGAAAGGTACTGGGGACTATTAGGCGCGGAAAACTGTTTCCTTGTCACCCCATAACTCTTGCCATGTCCTTCCTTCCTCCGTGATCCCAAGGCGCAACACTTACTGCATATTTAAGATATTCCTTTGTTGCTGAGGTACGTTGTAAGTTATTGAGAACTCTTGACCGGCAGCATAGTTAGCATCAGCTTTATGTTCCGTGTTAGAATGTGCAGCGGCTTTCACCCTTACTCCCATGCGCAGGAAAGGAGTGTGAATTCCGACTTGTGCCTGCTCGTGGGCACCAATGCTGAAAAAAGAGTTATTAACAAAAATTACCAAACAAGCATTTAAAGAAAAGAACACAAAATAAAACATGCAGTTTGAGGAGACAAGTAGAAGAACATATTCGTACACTGGTTTTATCTCAGTGATGGCTGTTAGTTTCTGGAGCAGTAGTAGGGTGGCGATGGAAGGCTCAACGTTAATTTTGGCGGCCACAGTGACCTTGGCAACTGCTGCAGTTCGGTGCTGGAAGTCAAGAGGGATTCCTGCCAGTGTTGGCACCACACGGCGCGCGTTGTTTGCCATGAAGGCTTTCTCAAAGGCTTGCTTAATTTCAATACCTTTCGGTGTGATCACGATTGCTGTGAAATAAGAGCAATTGAAAAACTGATGAACTATGCCAGAACATCTTGGCGCCGTGTAAAACTATATTCCGAGTTTAAAAGAGACTAAAGAGATATTTTTGGTGAAAAAACTCAAAAGAGGCCATTCTAAACTGATATGACGCCATGATATATCCGTAGTTGCGGCCCTCAAAAAACAATGAAATGAAAATTTATGGAAAGCATTTAGCCAATCAGAACTGATACAATCCGACTAATGAATAATAATAATGATAATATGGTATTTACACATACAAGAGTAACATCAAAACTTGTGGAAAATACTTTTAAAGCGTTTATGGTAAAGCAATTATTCGATTCGGTTTAATATGAAGCCGAGAATTTTTTTTGTGGCGTTGGTTTGGCTTTGTCCCCCTCAGCTTTTTGCTCCACCCAATTACCCCAACTTTGGCCTTAGTGACTCTTAGTATCGCGCTCAACCTTATCCTATACTGTTATTTACTGTTTATTTACTTCTGTCAGCGTTTTCAATTCGATCTTTCTTTCCCAGCATAAGATCTGCGACGTCTTGTGAAAACTGTTTGATATCTTCTTGTCTGATTTCCATGTATTTCACCTCGTCACCAAACAACTTCAGGTAAGCTGACATCCGTTGACGATTCTATAAATCATATCAACTGTCTTTTTAGCAAGTTTTGATTTAATTTTATTCGCCTTCTTTTATTATTGTTTTTTCTAATCTAAGTATCATTTCTGAAATAAGTAATGTGGTGTGATTTTCAGTTTTCGCGACGTGCACCTACCCAGGTAACCTAAGTGTGACATATCTACTCTTATATCAAAACCACTTCCCTTTTCTTAATTGTCCTGACAAGGAAAGGGAAGAGAGTCGTAGGGAAAGAAAAATTTCGGTACTCCATGCTTCATATTTTGTGTTGAATACATGACCACGCATTGAAAACAAAAACTTTCCTTTCTAGTTTAATTAAACAACTACCAAATTTGTTTCACTTGAAATAGTGTGGCACTCAGCGCACTAAATTGTTTGACCTGAGAGGTTATTCGCTGAGTCTCCCAGGACAGTTTTTATTAGATGCCTTGTGCAGAGATTCTGCTGACCCACCAAGGCAATATCACCTAGTTGAATTATGGATCGTCATTTAAAGTCTGCTTTACATTGTCTTGAAACTGTAATGATAATTTATGCGCGGGTCATTGTTGGGAGCGAGAGGGCTAAACACGTCAGGTTGAATTACCTCTTGGTCATGACGAGTAGCGGGACGAATTATTTTTGGGGTGCCTTCTGATTCTCCATCTTCTGATTTCACTTCCTTGGAAGTCTCATCTTCCGAGCTCTCTTTGTTGAAGAAGGAGTTGATTGCTCCCCACAGAGATCGTTTGTGTCGTTTGCGAACTTCGGAAATTACCTGCTCAATAACGTAGTCCATGTTTTCGATTCGAGCACCAAACTTCGAGAAGATAAAATGAAAAATAAAAAAGGGAGTGTTCTGTAAGTTACTGAAATGTTCGATTTAGTTGCGAACACAATTCAAGATTTCTCTTCGAGTTCTTTTTAGGTCCAGGAAACTCTACAACCCTTTAAACAAGATACAACACTAAAACTAATAGTACATCACTCATTCGCATTTTGCCATGCCTAATGTACATACAAGCTGAGTAAATTTTCTCTGAGTTCTCACTGGCTGCTCATTATTTTCTTTTCATTCTGATTGGCTGTTTGTTTTTGCGACAACAAATAGAAAGTTATGTGACACACTCATAGTTAATCTTTGACACAGGTGGGGTCAACCTGTGAAGTAGAATGCGGTGCGAAGTTGCTTTCTGTCATTTTAGATCCATAGCAAGTGATCCTAAAGTCTGTTTCTTAACTTGAGGCTATCTAGCTTTGATTAGACAATTTAAAGAACGTTTATAAGACTCTAATGAACATTCATGCGTTTAAAGGCTATCAAAGACGCCATGCCTTTGATACTATGATGCTGTATGGTGAAGTTCGTTACCCCGACATGGTGGATTCATGAGCCACCTGCTAATATGACAATTATATGACACTATTATGAGGTAGATACGGCGCAATTGCAGTATTATTACTATATTTACCTCCAATGCACTCATTTGGTAGCCTAACACGTGCATTCGGATCTGTGCGTTGAGGTTTCGTGGCAGCATACTGTCAGGAACATCCATTCTGTTTGCCTCGAACTCAAATCCCGCTTGGAATTTCTCTGTTTTTTAAAAATGACAGAGAGGAACTTAGATTTATTACAAAGTAACGAGCCTATTATCATGGAAACCTAAAGTATAGATATATCAGACATTTTATCAACAACTAAAAACGATGAATCGACCCAATATCGGATATATCACTCTTTCGTGAGATGGCAAATGCAACCTTTTGAGTCGCGGAGTGGACAAACAGTAAAAGAACAGCGGCAAAGATTACATTCAAAACGAAATACGATGATTCAGGATGTAGGTGATTAGCATGGACAACAGACGATGATATCGAAAAAAGCTAGTTTAGGATTTTTAAGATGTGCGTGATATGGCTCCAAGAAAGCACTTATGAAACCAGCGGTCTCAGGTCTGTACTTAAGCCCACCTAACCATTGATCAGGTCTTTGTTCGTATTAAACGCCTGCTCAGTATTCGTCGGCCAAATTGCCTTACCTGAATATTGTGCCCATCGCATTCCTTTAGAGTATCCTGGACCATAACTCATCTTAGGCATAAGACGGAGAGCCAGGCGAGCCTGCATGCACCTGAAATTAGAATAAGCGGTTCTTACAAACTGAGCATATTTCGAAACAATAATTTGAAACGCCAAATATGTAATCATTTACTAATTAAATCAATAAACAGAGGACATTAACTATTTTAATAATTTTTCATCGCGACTCAATGTGTAAAGGTAACATTTAATTTGCGTCTCTATTTAGTTAAAACTATGAAAGACTGGGCTCAGTAACGATCATCGGAAGTCTACGAACTGTTCAAAAAAATATTGGCATAGTACTACGTCGTCTATTAGAGGCAAATATCCAAAAAGTCTCTCTGCCAGTTGTTTGTAATTACAAAACACGTCTACTCAGGTTAGAGTTTTGCTGTTTTTTTTTTTCTTTATAAAAATCAAGGAAATCTCACAGATAAAATTTGAATTACTGTGAATCCTCCCTAAAAAGTAAATTTTGAAATAGGATGTGATAACAAAATGTTTAAGCTTTTTAAGCTACCGGCCTAAAGTGTCCGTATGGAAGCAATTTCACGAATTTCTGGTGGAAGATGGTCTCATTTGCCTGAACTGTAATTTTCTTATATTGGTTTGGTTGTTTTAATACATATTCATATAGAAAATGACTCATTACCTGTGCTTCGTCAAGACATTGTTCTGGTAGGCCAAAGCTGCTAGATGAGATAAAACAAATGAAGCCACCTGGTTACTGCGGGGGCCTGGAGCAGCACAAGTGATCTCACGTTTCACAATATTGGCGAGAGCCTGCAGTGTTGCAAAGTTGGGTTCGGAATTCAGCAACATAATGAAAACGGCCATGCGCAGTTCAGGGCTTTCTCTTGCGTCAGCAAAGATAGATATCAGCGATGGAGTAGCCTGGAATAAAACGAAAAGATTCAAAGTTAAAATCAGCCACTATAGTTATTTCATTTGATTAAGATTGTGATTACAAAAGTTTGGCACATATCAGTCTCAAAGACTTTCCGCCTTCCCAAGACTGTCGTAGCCGGACCAAGAGAAAGTGTATGTATTGAAATTAGGTACATAAAAATTTCGAGATGAAAATCGCTTCATCTGCGGTGAAATCATTTCACTTAATTTCGAATCGTTTGGGAAATTGCACCCGCTAAGCATCTTCGGAGCTTGTACTCGTATCCTCAATAATGGCCAAATTACTGCGTTTCGACACCCCGCGTTTTGTTGCAAAACCAGTCTAATACGACCGACGCCACGTCTCGTGTTAGTCATCCTAAATTGATAAGTTCTAAGGACTCATAGTACTTACTGTTTGCCTGGCCTGACGGATGATGTGTCTGTGAGCCCAAACACATTCCACCCTGATGTACAGTGACTCATCACGGTCCCTGAGAATCTTTTGCAGAACTGGTTGTGCTTGAGGGCTCGCTGAATTCCCAATAGCTTTGATATACATTACTCTCTCTTGTTCGGTCGTTTTGCCAGCAAGACGATCGAGTATCTTCTGTTGAGAGTAAGTAACGGTCGAAAGAATAGTAATTATCACGAGCATTAAGACAGAGTATGACATTTTTCAATTGACTCTCACGGAAACTTATACTTCCTATGGAGGTCATATGCTGGTCTGAATACACAAAATTAGGTTATAATTAGCTTTGGTTGATTGCCTAGAGTCTTTATGTAACTGCAATTTCCTCAGCACCATGCGACAAATTTCTTAAACACAAATAACCTGTCAAAATGCTCATTATTCAGTCAATATGAACATCGAAGCATTTCGGTAATTCATTATTGATAGATAGACTTGTTATAGGGTGATATGTTGGCCAGGATTATATTACCTGGGTACACTCATTACAAGCAGCCTTAGCTTTGGTGTCCTGCTGGAGACTGGGTCTCTGACGTATCTTTCGCACCAGGGCCCCTAATGTGAGCATGCATTGACGACGAGCTGATATATCCCTTTTAACCTCAGCGTGCTCGCATAGTTCCTAAAACACCAAAATAGAAGAAGAAAACAAACAAACAACCAATCAGTTGCTTCTAATCTATGAGTTTACATGGACTCAAAATATCTTAAGAACAGAATTATCATAGTTTCTTCCTCGAACACTTGACAAAACTCAGCCAAAAAATATTGTAGTATTTCGTAAAAAAAGTTTGTGCTTGTCCATTGTGGTAAAGCAAAATAATAATAAAGTATTCTCGTTTGTCTCACGATTTGGTCACTTACGACGATGTTACTTTACCATTATTACTGTAGTCGTTTGATCGCGAAAATGCATGTTGTATAGTTATGTTACACTTAGAGCGATATGAGCTAGAGTTGCCTTCGTAAGTTTCCCGCTAAAAAGCGTTTTCAATGGATAGATGATCTCAACTGACGCTTTTCACTTTTTAAAAAGATCGTTGCCTCTTCAGACAATTTATACTGCATTTTTATAGACGTACACGCTAGTTGGTCACTAGTCAGCTTTGTCTCACTTACCCAAGCAGCATCAATGTGGTCAGCGGTTGGTCGTGGAGCGAACGCCAGTCCCAAAAATACTCGTTTGAGTTCTTCTGCTTTGTTGATTTTCCTCTCTTGGATCTTTTTCTTTAGAACTTGGAAAGCCTCACGGGTCCCCACAAAGGAGAGAGCATCGATACAATATTTCCTTGTGAACAAATTTTCGAAACGTTAACCCTAAATGATCCCAATTAGTCTGCGATCAAGAGAAAATGGTTTTATCCTTCAACCTTTTGTTATAAACGGCTGTTAATGATGGAAGATTCAAATTCCAAAAATTTACACTATCAGCACTGGTTTTGTTGCCAAACTTGCGTAAGTCCTAACTAATCATCAGATCTGAGCCCAGTTGTTCCGAATAGTTCCGATGTAACCCAGGGTTAAATTTTAATCCAAGTTTCTATATTTCTCTGTTCAAGGGCCGTTTTGGGATAATTTTTTTTTTCAATTCTTTTCAGAGCATTCAATCATCAAGTAGTAGACAAATGGACTTAAAATAATTTTCTTTTAAAGCTTTCAGATCTGAAATCAAATTTTCTTTTAAAGCTTTCAGATCTGAAATCAAATTTTACATTAACTCTGGGTTATCTTAACCCACCTTCAAACAACCCGACAAGGTATTCATATAAAACACACATATATTAACTAATTTACCTCTCGGATGCGTCTCGCCGGGATAACATGTTATCAGCCAGTTTCATGGCGGTTTCCTGATTGCATTTTCTCAGCTGCTGTACCAAGTTAGCAAACATCTCAGCTGCCCTTTGGCCGTCTCTCTGGTTAATGGCTTTGCACATTTCGTCTGAAGCATTTTGCGCCTGCACGCAAAATCAGTTATCAAATTTATCCTTAACGGTATGATAATGTATACATAAGAATGATTTTCTGTAGCCGAAGAAAACTCTTTCGAACTATTACACCTTGGTCTTATAGTGATCCTCTGGACCGGGATACGTGCCAAGTTAAAGATGTAAGGAAACCGAAAATGAAGATCTTTTCCCCCAGCAAAAATTTGAGCTTTTTCAACTTTTGATAAATTTAGCAGTGGTAAATTCAATGTGAAAAACCGAAGAGAATTGTAAACTGACACTAGTGTTACCTGTCTGGAAGTTTCCTGCTGACATTGAGTATTATTGCGATCTCGTCGCTCGGGATTCTCAGCGACAAACCGATGAGTTGTTGTCCTGGCAAGTGTCTTAGCTGGTCAAAGCAAAAAACAAAACAAAATTAAACTAAAAAAGTAGGGACACTTATCCACAATTCCTTCAAGTGAAAAATTATCTTAAAAATTTTCCATCCATTCTCTCTCTTTCCCCACAGATGATTATTGTGATATTGACCAATCCTTGCAGTGGGCTCATGTTCAAGAATCGAATTTATGGCCTTGATATTTTCAAATTGTCAAACACTGTTTCGTCAAAGACTCAGAAGTATTAGTTTTCCTAAACCCCCATCGATGTCTAAAAGAACGGTGTTAAAATGAATATGAATGCGATCTTCGCAGTACTGAAAGGTGTTAAGTCCGGCAGACTGTGTATTCTGGGAAAATTGAGCTCATTTTTCAAATTCGTAATTTGCAATCTGTTTCAATCTCTTCCATCACTGGCTATTTTGGTTTCCTCTCGATTCGTCTTTGTTTCTCTATCCTACAGAGCTAATGCTATGTAATCTCCGTCATTAAATTGATGGTTGTCTTCCCTAGACAAGAAAAAAGATTCAACACTAAAGACCCGCCCGCTTCCTTTTTCGCAAACTTGACATCAACCTTCTCAATGTTACTCTGAATATTATTTCTGAGAGCTTATATTGTAATCCCCGGTTAATGACTATTTCTACTTTCAGTTGCTGTTTTATCGGCAGTGAGTGATCATGTAGTGTAAGGAGAATGTGAACTGTTATAATACTCACATGGCTGTCCAGCGTCAGATGTTCCATGAAACTCCAAACATTGCCTGTTAGTGAGAGGTGAAAACGATGAAGTTTGAGAGATAAATCGCAACCTACTTGATTTCTGACCTGCATACAACCAGACTGAAAGGGGTCAAAACCACACTGAATGTTAGATAAGCCATAAAACAGTGTACGAGCGACTCAACCAACAGAAATCCGGAACAAGAACGAGTTACGTCAACGCACTTTTCTTCCCTTGCAGATGAAATTAAACTTTTCTGACCATATTTGTAACGTTCGTTCAATTCCAAGCCTTCCCGGAGCGTAAATTTTCAGTAAAGTCTTCTTTTAGCCCAAATCATTTCTCCAAAAAGAAAATAATTTTCACATTGCAAAATTACAGATCATAACTGGAACTGTACCTTGCTGAAGCCGTCAGCTGTCCTCCAGCTTGACTGACTGGTGTGACTACATGTTTTTCCACAGCTTCAGCCCATTTGATGGTATAACCGTATCTCTCATTTCCACTCAGGGTATATTCGATCTGACCAGCTGACTGGTGATATGGTACATTACCCACGCTCTGCAGGGAAAGAAATCTCATCGTATTATGCCTACTGCTGCTTTAGGTGTCACTTCTTTTTGGCACAATTTTCTATAAAAGCACAGCACTGGGAGTGACAAATCATCGAATATCCCATTTTTTCTCCCCCTTCCTTCCATGATTTCCAGTAGTTCCTCCATCCTGCACCATAGCAGCGTAAGTTTATCATTTGAAATATGTTCTATCCTCACTTCCTTTTTGCCTTTTCTTTGCCCATTTGTTGTCTGCTTACCCTGGCAGCATGCTGGTTGTTACGACCATTTTCTTTCTCGTCTTTTCTGACTTGTTCGGGTTATGAAACATACTTTCCGATAGAAAAGAGTTAAATTCTCCAGAAGTATACTCATCTCAGAAGATGATAGGACTAGGAAAAGTCCCAAACATGTATAAGGGTCCCTTACCTGTTGGCATTTTTCGCACCATCTTCCGTAAAAATTACTCTGACTAAATTCTGGTCGGTGTCGGCATTTCTGGTAGATAATAACTTTGGTTACTTTTGTAACCTGTTCCTTCTGTCCAGCTTGGCAGTTGTCACATTGAATGACGTACGAAACCTGGCAATCACCCACTGCAGTGGTCTATAAAAAGGTTAAAAAAGAAGTTGGACATGGTTTTGCTAAAAAAAACAAAAATACTGGCGAACCAAAAAGTAGGGGGCTTTTTTTTCCAACTGTAATTCGCAACAATCTTAGAAACACGACGCTTAGGGATCTCGTTTAACCACCATTCTAGTTCTTAGAATTGATAATAGTAGTAATTTTCAGCGAGTCATTCACAAAATATTTCGATGCCTTTGTTGCCATTTCTTCCTTACTCGAAATACGAATACTTCAAACTGGTAGGGTACATCGCCAGAGCATAGTAACAATCGTAATCATTATTTTGTAACATCTCCTTACTACATTTACTCATGCTTTGAAACGAACCCTATCTTTTCAAACGCACATGGACGAGAAAGAATTACAGAATTGGTGGTCATATCACAGAAAAAAAAAAAACGGTAATGAAAGTTTAAATTAACTTCTAACCTCAAATTGAGTGACAAATCGTTTGCCGTTCTTCCCTTGTGATTTGTATTGTTGACGTGGTGACATTTGGAAAAGGTTTGCAAGACCGCGTTTGATGTTCAGCGACCATTCCTGGTCTTTAGGATCCGCATAGACTTGTTTAATACTGCCATCTTGTGCCTTAAAAGCAAGTTTCACTGGTAGGGCAAGGAAACCTTGCATTTTTGCCACGATCTTTGGGTCTGCTTCTGTCTCCTTCTGCTGCTTAGGGTCCTGAAGGTTTCCTTCCACTTGTACAACTTGAATGTTTGCCAGCTGAGGAGATGGAATTAAATTCAGTGCTAACGCATTCATTCCATCATTTGGCCCCATATATTCCTCATCCAAAGTCAATTTTAATGGATCCGTTTGGAATGAATTCACTCTGTTCCGTTAGCCTCCTCTAGGTAACCTTGTTCTCCCAAAAGCATGTCTTAACTCAATTTATATTTTGAATTTCAGTAATGATTCACAAAGGCAGACAAAACGCTGATAAAAAAACAACAACACACTTATAGTAAATCAGTCGAGCTTTGAATTTATGATTATGAACTGCTGCAAACATAATGCTTGGTCTTGAAAACAGCACATATGAATATAAGAAAATCAAAACTTTATTTCAAAGTTTATTTTGTTTTCATTGTCGAGTGATATTAGGAAATAAAATCACTTACCCTCAGTTGAAGCTCGGTTTTCTCCAGTACATCCACATGAGCTTGACACCTCGCCCTAAGTCCTAGTGTCTTTGTTGATCCGCCGGGGATGGCGTGGTATACATCAGTTTGGTAGTTGTAAGTGTAACGCTTTCCCCTTTCGAAAGCTGAAAAGATACAATGCTATGAAATGAAAGGTCTTCGACTGATAATGAGAGCCGAGAATATTTCTGTTTACGGTTGGTTTTGCTTCGCTATTTTCTGTGACTGATCTAAAACGTTCGCTTCTTGCAGCTCAACTAATAAGATACAAAAAAAATCGCGACTTGGCCGCACTCATTTTCCTGAACTTGTAGCCGCTCACGTGAACTTTGCGTTGAGTTTTCATTGGCTCCCTCTGAAAATCATTGTAACTGCTTTCAGTTCATTTTAGCCCCTCAAAAATGGAAGACCCTCGATCAAAGTGGTATGGTATGATCATTAGTGGTATGGGCTTATATAAGAGCAAACCGGAGGGAATTTTCCATCGTATGGGAGAAAGAATTTCTACCCCCTGCATCAAAGACATTGTTTTGAAAACAACCAGACAATATTTTCAAAGCATGTACAAATTTTTTCCACAAAGAGAATAACAAGCTACATGCACATTACAAACGCTGTCGAAAGGATGAAATATTTTCAGAGAAAATCTGATTTATAAATGACGCCATATATGAGTAAACCAGCGAAATGAAGTGGATGATGTCACATACGAACTTAAACAAAATTTCTAGTTAATTAAGATCAGTACCTCTGCATGTGACCCGCCAAAGTTCGTTTTATTTTACTTTCAATAACCAATGTGAAATAAATCTAATGTATGGTGAACACAGAACTATTTCTCTTACCTAAGGGCATTGGAGCTAAAAGAGACAGAAAGGAAGAAGACAGTAATAAATGAGTTCATAAATGAATAGTACTTCCTTAATGTTGGTTAAGGAAAAAATATTACTGGTTGGTGTAATGGTGATAATGATGAAAATAATGATAACGTATTTGTATGACGGATATGCTCTAATACACGTTACAACACTTTGTGTAAGACTCGATTGCATCCCCACCAAATATCCCTTTCAGGAAAATTATAAAATGGTCAAACAAATGTGAAATTCTTCCAAGTCAACAACTTTGCCGTCCCTGAAGGAACTACCTGTACGCCGCAACTTTTTGTCTTGAACCGGAGAGATCGCCAAAAATTTACGGGTAATCACGTCAATCTCCACCATTATTAACGATTCAGATCCCTTCACTGTTTGTTCGTACCCCTTAAAAATTTCCTTTTTTCTTATGCTTTCACACTGTTGAGTCCTTCAATGTGAGAATAGACTTATTCAGCGCGGCAAGAGCAAGCGCTGGAACGTTGTCTAAACATAGTGAAAAATTGGAAGAAACATCAAATGAAAGGAGAAATAAACCTTGTTTGTACTTACAAACTGCGCCAAGTGCAAGGAGAATCACCACAAATGCATTCATGGTGCTAAGCTTCGCTCGTAGCAACTTCTGTCGCAGTGACGAAAACGACAACGAAGTCAACTTTTATACCTTGTCAAGGTAAACACGCTTGCACACGTCGAAACTGGTAGCCACAACATAAGTGAAACTTTGCACGTTTGAACTTGAGGGATTTTATGCCAACTAGACGCTTATTAACCATATTTTGAAGCCATTCGGTAGAGAAGAATAGCAAACGTTACAAAGTAGCCAAAACAGCTGTAAAATTGGGTTCAATGTTCGTTTTACCGGGAGGTTCATAAACCTCACAGGAGACTAGTTTTGGTGAGATTGGTCACAACATACGCTAATTAAGCTAGGAAATTTCATTTTGAACGTTATATTTCTTGTTCGATCTCGTAAATTAGACACAAGTGAATTTGAAAACAAATTTCATTCGCCATGAAGAATGTACAAAGTCGTTCTTGGTCCTCAGCGCTCATCTCTGAATTTTTTGGTGTCACATTTTTGAGAGGTGCTCTCGTTTCTCAGAGCTCACAGGTGGCCTGGTGTTTTTATGGAATGGCTCCAGATTTTGAGTAGAATAGTGGTAGTTAGTCAAGAAGGATGCAATTTTGTTAACTGTTTTACAAACAGTGAAAAACAATTGGGAAAAAAAATTCTTGTGTAACCTTTGTACTTGTCATTACATTACAATTTCTCTTATAATTGTTTCATTTTGTTTGGAAACTGTATTTCATCAGCGACCCCTCGATGGAGGCTGACCTTTATTTCACATCGTTGAGACTGTTTGAAAACGCTATATGAATGAATTAGACGGACCGAATTTCAAATTCTATCCCAGTCTTCAGCATAATATTAAGCTGCTAAAGGACAGTGTTTACCAAGAAGAGAAACATCTTCCGATAGTAAATATAACAAAGAAATTTCAAAGCCATAAACTTGGCACATATCAAAACACTGCCGTGGGCTGTGTTTTTTCCTTTGAGTACACTTTTATTTGTAAACACTCTCAGCCAACGTTAGCGTACGCTCTTAAAAAGTAACATTGTATCTACATCGGCTCGTTTTCTGAAGTTTTACTTCGTCTTTACAGTTGTGAGGCCAAGATGAATTTATTTCATGATTCAATTCTTGTTTTTTCCTAAATATTTTTAAGATATCTGTATTGTAAAACAGACAGGCAGTGAGAATCTAAGGGAATTAATGTACTCAAAGGCATTAATTCTTCTATCAGCTCACAAAACCTTGCAAAAATATTCGGCGTCAAAATACATCGTTATTTGGATTTCCAGTATAATCAAAGAATAATCAAAATAAAATAGGCTTCTTTAAACGCTTGCTTTCTTTACTTATAATAACTTGAAAAACATTTGAAAATTCATTTGCTTAAAATATTCAGAACCACAAAGCAAATTCTCGCTATTCTTTTGACCAAAACCCCCTCTCAAAGCATGTCGAAAATGTTGACCTTTTCATGATTCAGATACAATGAATATACGAAGTTCATATATTTTGAACTGCGGTTGTAGATACGTATGATGCACGATCCTCGCAGTAGAGAGCGCTATTTATGCAATAGCGAAAATCAGACCTGAAAAAAAAATCAGGCATGTACGGGATTCGAACCACGGACCTCTGCGATACTAGTGCAGTGCTCTACCAATTGAACTAACAAGCCAACTGGGAGCAGGCCGTTAATTTGATTAGTAATAAACCCTTGATGATAATAAATCAGATACAATGAATATATGAAGTTCATATATTTTGAACTGCGGTTGTAGATACTTATGATGCACGATCCTCGCAGTAGAGAGCGCTATTTATGCAATAGCGAAAATCAGACCTGAAAAAAATCAGGCCTGTACGGGCCTCTACTGCACGCCTCTACTGCGAGGATCGTGCATCATACGTATCTACAACCGCAGTTCAAAATATATGAACTTCATATATTCATTGTATCTGATTTATTATCATCACGGGTTTATTACGAATCAACTTAATGGCCTGCTTCCAGTTGGCTTGCTAGCTCAATTGGTAGAGCGCTGCACTAGTATTGCAGAGGTCCGTGGTTCGAATCCCGTACAGGCCTGATTTTTTTTCTTTTTTTTTTCAGGTCTGATTTTCGCTATTGCATAAATAGCGCTCTCTAGTGCGAGGATCGTGCATCATACTTTGCATGATTGTTTAACGAAAAGCTAGAAGTAAAAATAAAACGGACTTTGGACAAATGGCAATGCGTATTCTGATTGGATATTTGGAAGCGTGATGTCGCGTGAGGTAAGTACTGGCTTAAACAGGGGTTAGCAAACGCGGACAAAAAAAAAGAAAGTAAAAAATAGACAAAATAAAAAGAACAAACGAGTGAGTATTTGTATGTGTAAAAAAATAAAATATAATCATAGAAATCAAAGCAGCGACATCAGAGGTGCTCAGTTTTACATTACGTGTTGTCTTTTTCTAGATCACACCAGTGAAAACGATCTCCTTTTTTTTTTTAAAAAAATTACCATACTAGGTGAGAACTAACTTTCAGATTACATATCAGACTGTTTTTTTGTCTGAGTTGAATTTCATATCAGCTTTTGAAAAATGGCGAGCTTTTGAATCCATATACACCAAAGACTCGTTGATTTAATCTATCTGACCTTAATCGAAATACCTCTTTATCGTTTCTTTCAAAACTCAGCCAACCCAAACAAGGCTTTTTTTAAGCCGAATTTTCCACCCCACACACCGTCTCTAAACAAACAACTGCTCTTATCGGGAAATCCATCATTTTCCTATTATGACTAATCTCGTCAACAGACATAGAAATATGCTTTCAAGGGTCAAAAGTTTGTTTTGGTACGAAACTCCTAATACGAGAAACGTGCTGGATTGACTTTTAAGATGAAACGCCACAGGGAGAAATTTTCCCTTTGTTAGCTAATTATGATGTGAAATTGTATTCCGCTTTTTAACTGATAGCTGCAAAACGTTGGAGAGAGAAAGTATGATTTTATTGGGGAAAAATGACAAAAGCGCCCATGCAGAAATTGAAGAGTGAAAAAACTGCACACCTCGATTGAAATTAAATGATGCCCCTAGGATGCCAGTTAAGCGCTACATGGGGCTATGGTACGAAGTCACATGTTAAAAGTGAAAGTGATTTTATTTATAAAAACAACCACCCATAGGTTGACATTCAAAGTGAGAAATAGCAATTGAAAACAACGAAAGAGAACAACTTTAATCGTAAATATGAGCTGAGCTCAGCTACATTTGGGTAAGGGAGATATTTCATGGCTAGTTTGCAAGAACAATTGTATACGTTTGAAATTCAAGACGATTTGTCAAATTTGATGTACAACTGATAACTTAATTGCACTAAATAAAAGGGTAAGGCCAAACTCTCCATTAACCAAACTTTATTTTAACCACCTATCGTTGAGGTTTATAAGTATATAGTATGGATGTCCTATAAGACAGTTAACTGGACGAGAACACCAAAAAAGAAACACTAAACGAATCACGAGGTCCTTCGAAACGGCTCTAAACATAAAACTAATCTAGAGATCCTTCGGAGCTGTTCTTTACTGAATACTCCGCTACTGAAATATACAACTACGCAAATACTACTAATTGCGAACAAGATTATTCGACAGTGTCACCAGGTCGCATACAGTTTTCGACAACTACAAAAGTTATTACGTAATTTTCTTTGTTATTACAAGTTCTTGAACACCTTCCGCACAGGTTTTGTAATCAGTCTTTTCCACCACAGTATAAACTGGTATCCCACAGGGCATGTAACAGATCTCTCCTACTAACTTTATAAAGCCGACTTTTGAGTGTCAGCCATATTCATCCAAGCTATCATGGCCATGGACATAACTTTAAAGTCTTGCAAAAGAAAAATAAATGGTTACAGCTTTGATTTGGAGTTCCTTTTCTTGCAGCGAGTTTTGATCCCTTGACATTCGTTGTTGACTGCGTCAGTCACTGGAAATAATACGTTCAAACTCATTTCTGTGCTATGCAGAGATATTGAAATAATTTTTTCATGTTTCTTTTTTTTTAATTGATCTTATCTTCAACATGTTTAACAGTAAAGTATTTTCTGTAGCCGTGACCTGACTTTTCATATCTTTATCGTTATCATGCAAATCCAGATTCAAGAGTTCAAGAAGATTTATTCACTCGATTTCCGCTTCTCTCTGAGGATCATTCTTCTTTAGGCCAGGCTCCGCTGCCAAACAGCGGTTGATTACTGATTTCCTGCTGTTGTTTTATCTAGGGTAAGAGTTTAGTTTTATCTAGATAAAAAGCTTATTGTGACGCGATGAATTAGGCGCGGTCCTAAAAACTGCACATATGTTATAAGGTATTTCTTTCAACTTCCACCCTGATGCTCATTTGACATTTGTGGTTTACTTCACCAGACTTTTGACTCAGCTCAGTTTTGGCGGTTAAACATGCCACGCAATGAAGACATGCAGCGCAATTAGTCATCCATAATGATAACATGCTTTCTCGCTCTAGCCTACAGCCGGAGTCAGGATGTTATACGCTTATGATTGTGCAGCGAAGCACCGTGTATAATTTAGAGCAAAAGGAGGCAGAGAGCGGACACGACAAGCTTATTATCTTCTCTCTCATCCTCAAATCATTCAAAAGAAATTGATCTCCCTTTCCCGCTCTACCCTTACTCTTAGAATCCAGTGAGGCAGCCAAATTTCTCACGAAGAGATTCGTGCTCATTCTACTTTTATGATTCATCCTATTGAAAAGACTTTGATTACAAGAACTGAGTGGAAAGTGTTTGACACAGGACAATTACGTAATAACTTTTGTTGGTGTCGCATAACTGTATGCGACCTGGTGACACTCTTCGTCGAATAATCTTGTCAGCAATTAGTAGTCATTGCATGTAGTTATAGTTCTCTAGCAGAGTGTTTCAGAGAACCGTTTCGAAGGACATCGATATTAGTTTAGTATATTGTTTTTGGTGTTTCGTCTGACCACATCCAATTTTACGCACAGTCTTTAGAACGACCA